AGTTTCGAACAATAGGAACCGACATTAAGCGGAAAATATCGCGCCCGCTTATGGCCAATCGCATAAGACCAATCGCGTAAAGCTAATCGGACGAATGAAGCGAATTTGCTGGGTCATCGTGTGCTACATACGGGATTATCGAGCAATTATAGGGACCATTGTTTCGGGATCGAGAAGCCAACGATGCCGCGGATCTTCCTCTATTTTTCTTCGCCGCGACACGTACTATGTTTCAGGCAAACAGCGATAACGCGATAAACCAGCATCGAAACGAAGTTACATCGCGTTTCCCTTCGAGCACGAAAACAGTTTTCCTTTCGGTTATAGGCGGCTGGGGTAATGGTATCACGCGAATACATAATCCACCCCTTCGTCGCTGCGGATAAGAAAATAAAAAGAGAATAAAAGGAGAGCAGATCGAATACGAAATTCCATTTCTTCCCGATCGTAACCTCGCCGATGGATAATCTTGCCGGGGCTATCTGAGACGAGCTTGCTCCCCGTGAAGAGTTAAAAATTCGCAGGATACCGGTGAGGGGTTCCGCGTGAAAGAGTGGCTGGATGGCGGGTAAATAGACGAACAGAGGCGATATTACGACAAACTAACGAGGTTTATTAAGCCGAACGAAATTGCGGCGGCTTGAAAACAGGGGTTGAACGGTAACAGTTTAGGGGTTCGTAATTCCGAGTGCTTCGAAATAATAAGGGTCAGCAATTACCAGTGTCCAAGCCAAGGAACGCACCGATATTAACATCCGTCGACGAAGCCTCGACGTCAATTACGAAAACCTCCGCTTTCCCCTTTCGACGACCCACTTTTCGTATCACTCGGTTACCAGCCGAGAACTCAAAGCCTCGAGAGCTCCTTTCGATCGCGAAGAAAAGGGAAATTAAAACTTTTAGCCGAGACCGAATGATTACCCTGCGCAAACGATGGTCGTCCTGAAAATCCAAATTCGAGGCGAAAACAGAGGGTAGAAAAATCGAGGATACGCGGCGATGTTTCAAGGATCGGGTGTCTGGAATGCGCAATTCGGTTTCGCGAGGATGAGCTTGGCACTGGCTCACGAACGAGTTCGTCTAAGAAACGGATCGTCGATACGTAAATCTTAAATCCACGTTAAACGCATTCTCGACCATTTATCGGTCGTTTAATTTATGAATCGTATCCGTACCATCGCTGCCAATAATCAGCTGCTACTTCTCAAATTGAATGTCACTCGCAGAGCTTCGCGAAGAGGATAGGTGGTTTACCCGAGCAATTTTCTCAAAGCTCCGAAACCACTTCTGTGTCTTCGATTTTTACGAGACTCGAGGTCCTGGAAGCTGACCCTACGCGCCCCTTGGTCCTCGAGTACCCGACGCGAACAGGGTCCACCCAATGGCTACTGGTGGTCAGTGAGTGGACACTGAGAGTCAGCTTCTCCACAGTCGTTCCAATGTCTAGCTGACTACTGTGGACGTTCCTGTAAGCTTGCGACTAGTTCCATGCACAATGTCCACTCTGTGGCTAGCCTTTCGTTTTCACGAAAATGCGTCCTGACAGCTACCCGACTACTTTGAACGCGTCTGTACCTTCCACTTCCGACTACTCCCGTGGACAGTGTCCATCTGGAATCAGGGACGGAAAGTGATCTATCACTCCACGGGCTCTTCTTTCTCGGCACTTCGGTGGAATGCACTCTGCAGTAATGAAATTGAGACTTTGAAAAGTTTTCACATTCGGAGAAACAATCCTATCACGAGGGGCTCTAAGAGGAACCTTAAGGAACCTTAACCCCCTTTCAAGTAAGGAGGAATTCCTGCAATAGAAAACTCCGCGCAGAATTACGATAAAGGAATCCTGGAAATAAAGAGGCAGCACAAAAGGACGCCGAAAGGAGAGAACGGAGGTGGAATAAAGCAACGGAAGGACAGGAGAAAAGGAAGTTGAAGCGATGCAAACAGATAGAACGAACGGGGAACGATACGAACAACGATTTTAAAATACGACTGACATATTCCGGGATATCCTCGAACGAAAACGACTTTCAATCCCAGGATATGCCAGGATTATAGGTGACATATACCAGGAATCTGAGAATGGCATTAGGACGGAATTGAACTACAAACTTACCGATGTAAAAATCTGCCGCGGTATATGCACGTTAACTACGCACGATCGATGACATGCTCGACGGAACAACCCTGGTAAATTGGTCGTAAAACCGGACAGGAAACGCGAAATTTCGTATGAATTCCAAAATTCAGAATAATACGATAAATTACATTGCACTCTTTTAAACCTTATACCGAGAAAGCCAACTAAAATCGTAATACTTTACGATCTTCCATGTGAACTCCGATTGTCTAAAATCCATCGAAAATTTCTGTATAATAACGATGATCTTCGTAATTTTCAACGTCGACTAGACGAAGGATTCGATAAAGTACCCACATATTTTTCCCCGGGGAATACCTTGCTTATTCTTTAAGAGTCACAGAAAAAGAATGGAACGCCGTACAAGAAGGAAGCCGAAGGAAAACAGAGGACAAAGATCCAGTTGGTATGTTTTAAACGCATTTATTAGATTAGATAAAATTTATCGAAATTCCTTTCGAGACTAATTGAGAAATTTGGGGTAAAGCGCAACTTCGAGGACGAAGAGTATGAAGCCTCCAGAGAAACCGATGACTATCACGAGGAACGCTGGAACGAATTGCTTCAGGTGAAGCTCTGACATGTACTCTTGGTCGTGCGCGATCTGAAACATCAGGGCACGCGTGTCTTTTCCTATAGCCAACTCGATCATGAAATCCAAGATGCCTCTGTCTATGTAGTCCTGGATCGTGGTGTCTATCTGTCTCAAGAACGGGAATCCGTTCCAGGTGGCGAAAGCCAAAGGGAAGCTGCATATCTCCTCCGTGGTCATAGTGTACGCGTGCATAGTTTCGATGGTGTCACTACGCGAGGAGTTCAGCACAGTGACCAGAGCGAACGAGGAATTTTTCCCCTCGAGGAGATCGCGGAATTGCTTCAGATAATCAACGTGGTCGAATACCACGAATCTGTTTCGCACATTCGCGACCATTTCGTCCGTCTCCTCGAATCCATCGAACAAAGAGGCAAACGCAGCTGAACCACCGATCTCGAACGACGCCATCAGTTGTTTCGTCGTGTCGATCCTCAAGTCGGACAAATTGATCAGCTGATCCGCGAGGGCGTCTATGTAGAGCTGAGTGAGAAACAGACCGAAAATGCTCCACGAGATGTACTGAATTTTGGTGGAGAGCCTGGTGGGTTGCCGGGCGGTGGAGACTCCAATTATCAGAGCAAATATGTCCAGATAGGACAGGTCGTGGATTAAGAAGATTTTGATGAGACTACCCAGCACCAAGGCTCCGCCTACGGCTGCCCAGACGTACGGATGGAATGGCTGAATCAGTCCTTTCAGAGATACGTTAGGCACCTTTGGGACTAGCCAAACCACTTTCAACATATCGTACGAAGTCGAGTAATCCACGTCCTCGTGAGACTGCTGCAGGACACGTCCAATGATCAAGTCGGCCATTATATCGTTGTACAAATACATCTGCATCTGGTCCGCGTAGCTGGCATTATCGGTCCACGCGAGACTTTCTCGTTCGATCTGCTCGTTCTTCATCATTTCCTCTATCAGGTTACCCTCGAAGCCCATCAGACGCTCCGTGTCATTCGTCGTTATCACGTACGGAGATTCCTCGAAGTAGCCTATCTTCAAGATACAGTCGTTCCTTTCCGGCTCTCTGATTTTTTCCAACTTGTCCCAAAAACTTTCCTCGCATCTGCCCAAGATAACGGGAGAAGATGGCGTGCACAGCTTGCCAGGTTGGAAGGTGACGCTACCGGCTGCGAGCACGGAATCACGGACTCCTGCCAAGACGATGACAGTAGAGAGCCTCCGGTTCCACATCGATTCCGTTAAAATGCCAGCTTCTTCGAGGAACTGCTGTTCGTCTTGAAACGCAGTCGTGAGTATCAGAATAAAGGGACAGCCGCGATCGCAAGGCTCCATTACGTAGAAACTGTCCTCCAGACTGCTGGCGTTTGACATGAAAATGATCGTGTTCATCGCGGTCTGCGGTATCTCGAAATCTATGTATACGGAGTGTCTGTAGAACGCAAAGTGATCGTGGAGACTAATTACCAGCGAGTGAATTACGTCGTGAATCCCTCCCCCGTCGTCTATTGTCATGAAGGAAGTCCATGCTGGTTCGTCTAAGCACTGCTTCAAGAAACTATCCATGCAAGGTATCGCCATGTGGAACTCGTTCCGTTCATTTTCTATGTTCCTCACTCCCTCTACGATAAATTCTCTATTGCTCGATTCGTTATCGTTTCTATACATATCAGCGTAGCTTTCAGGTACCACAATGGCCCATGCAGGGTGCACGAGAAGAAAAAGGAAAAGAAGCCGAGCAAAGTGACGAGGGTTGGATCGGAAACGAACAAGCAAGATAATCAAGGATTCGATGTTCTCTGCTAGATATCATCGAAACGACCGTGAACTTGTTACACAGCGCGCTGCGAAACGATAACGAACTCTGATCAGCGTGCACCGCGAAACTTCGTTTCATCCGTGAAACAAAATTCACCTCTCATCGGTTCACCATCGACGGACTCGGTGTAACGAGCCAGCCCGGTCCCTGGTGCAAGACTATTTTTCAAGTCGAAAATGAAATTCCTCTGTTTGCGTAGCGGTCGCATGTCACGCTTACGTTGCAATAGAGCCTATGCAAATACTTGGAGCGCGCTGGCGATATTCGAAACAACATTCCAGTCATGCGATCGTGACATTAAAAACGCGCATGGCCGACTTTCGAGGTCGTATTTTTCGGCGTACGGTTTCTTCGGTGAATGGAAAAGGGCCGAAATTTTTCGGCAATCGACGTCCACGAGTCTTCGCATCCCGTTCCCAGCATTACCCAACTCGCGTGATACGTGATACTCTGTTCAGACGCAATCTTCTTTTCTTTTACAGAGCGTTCGTGAGGATTCTGTGCGTCTGCTGTCCCGGGCGAATGAGACGGCGATATCAGCCGGCATTCAGATGTAAACCAAGTCAAGTGAGTATGAAATATTCATACACCCCCGCGCAAATTGCGCCACGTGCAACGGTTTGCGCGCAGGAAATATGCGATAGTTACAGCCGACCAGTTCGTTGTCCCGGTTCTCCACGGGCCCGAAAACTCGCCCTCGGAAAACATCCCTGCCGGAAATAGCATAAATTGCGACCGAGTCACGTTCCTCGGTTTTATCTCGCCAAATGCAATGGCCAGTCACTCGTGTTCGTGTTCGACCAAATGGGGGAGGTCCGTGCATCCCACCCTGTCTAGGTGGGCGAAAAAAGCGGAAGCTGGGTTATTTCAAAGTCAGCGTTGGCCGCCATAACTCCTTTTTATTACGAAGAAGCACGTCGAAAGTTCCACCACCGTTCCTGCCTTCGTTCTATAGCTTCTGGATCATCGTTGACCCTATTGTCCGCGTGTGTAACTCGTACGAAGATCGATCGAGAATATAGGAACGGTCAGACTTCTTCTCAGTCCAGGTACATAAAGCCTGACTTGGACAGCCTATCCATTCCGCAGGCAAAAACGTGTCATCAGTGGACAAAAGCTTCTAGCTTTCTCATTTGCTCGACCTATTAAGCTAGGTCGGCTACGTAGACAGAGATCCTCGAGTCTGCTTAGAGTAAAGATACTCGTATATTTCTTGCCGATCGATGGCGATGAATTTTCGATGAGCGCTTAATTTCGGACGAGACTAGCAGCAGATCACGGCAGGTCGCGCTGAAACATCCATCCCCGAGAAATGCCGGTACCGTGATTTTTCCTAAAGTAGAACGACCTTTGCAAGTTTGATTCGGTCGCTAGGAGGAGATTAGGCTCCTCGTCGGTTTCCGAGCACGTTCAGGCGAACGCTCAGGGGAGCAACAGGCGAAGACGAACGTCGAGCCCTTCGAGAGACCGTTGTACATCGATCCGCGGGATTTCTCGGGATAATAAGCTAGATCGCGAAGGAACGCGGTTCCGAGCCAAGTATAAAGCGGTCAAGGGAACGCGGTAGAAGGCTGAGGGTCGAGTCGCGATCGCATATAACTTGAAGGTTCGCCAAAAGACAGGAATTTATCATTCCGATTGGTAAAGTTTTCGGCTTCGGATCTCTTATCTTCCCGGATAACGTTCAACGTTTAACCTCTGCGTTCCATTTCAGACGCTCAGACGCTACGCGTCTCCCTTATGAGAGATCAGGCTACTTGCCCGTTTCGAAAGCCGCACAGAGCTGTTCGCTCGACGTTCGATACGAACCAGGAGCTCCGTTTTGGAAGGGAATTCGGATGAATATCTCGGTAAACGTATGATCGCGGTATATAAACGCGTTTGGAACCTGGAAGGGAAATAGCGAGGATTCAGTGACCGGGTCGGATATCCTGGAAGAAACGCGAATAGAAGAGACGGAGTTGCTCGATACCGCGTTCGAAACATATTGGTTTACTCTGCTTTGCGAAACTTCATCCATTCCCACGATGCATAGTGCTCGCGTGGGCCTCTAGCGCTATGGGCGCGAAACTTTTCTTATTTATTAAGAGCGGAAAGTTGAGAGCAGTCGGATAGAGCGGCGATGCCGGAGGAAAAATTCCTCGCCGACCGTTCGCGTTACGGGCAAACGTAATTTCCTCGAATTAGATTCACTGTTTGCGTTCGATTTGCATGTAATTTCATCCCGCGCCTCGTGCCACTTTCGCGGATACGGCTGAACAAATACCACGCGTGAGCTCAGGTCGCGATATCCCGGCGGAAACTTCGAACCTTCGAAGCTACTTCGATTAAACGTGTGCAACAACCTCGTATTCTCCCGTATAATATCCCGCAGTTACTTCGTATATCGTATACCAATTTTCTGCCAACCATCCCCCTAGCAAGGTGTTCGTAAAACCTTCACCTCGCAGCCTAGATGGTCTATTCTTATATCGGGTTAGGCGAATCCGCAATTCAGGCAAGATCCACTTGGCAAGGTATTCCTTCTGGTTTCGCGAGTTTCGGGAAAATTGAATTATTCGCGAGAAGAGGAAATCGATCTAGCGTTCGATCGGTTAACGCTGGCCAATATCCGGTGGCCGAGAACGAACACCGAAAACGCGCTGTTCAAGAGAGGACTGACGAACGGGAAACTGACAAAGGGAAGGGTAGTCCGTGGCACATTGGACATCGAATCGAGTGTATTAATATTTTTTCAGAGATTCGCATCAGGAAGATACTACTCCGCTTATTCGCTCCACCACGTGCGAAGCAGCCGAGAGAGTTCGTGCGAGCAAACCTACATTTAACGATGGGATATCGCCGCGATGTGGATTCTCGTCAATCGTTGGATACTTCCTCGCAACCTGTCTAGCTTCCTCCTTACCCTTCCATTCGTCACCATCGAAGCATCGTCCGCCCTGAGACAAATCCTATCCCCGTAATCGCCCGGAGACACTTAGTACAGAGATTATCGACGAAGGACTCTGTCACCACCCCGTATAACATAGTCTCGGTATGTTGTTTAGTGAATGGATTTATCGATCACTGATACATACACATACACACACGTCTACACATGCGTATACGAGCACCTGCACCAGTAGCACCGTATGCGAAGACAACGCACGTGTTTGGTATGCCTAGGTACACGCAGCACCTTCAACCCCCCGTATACGTGTTTCAAGACGTCTCTCTCTGTGCACCTCTGATTACGATTATCCCAGTGTAGAAAGAGATCACAAAGTTGCGCACTTTCTCTCCGATAACTCGCCATTCATCGAACCAGGCAATTTTCCTCGCGTAAGAGATTCGGGTAAGGAAAATCGTTGCTAGAGAAAATATCGCGTCGCAGCCTCGATAAAAAATACGGGGATATTATTTTAAAATTTGTATGCTCCGGGCGGAAATCGTGATACGTTCGGCAGGGAAAAAATGAGAGAGAAATTGGGAAAAAGGAGATAGAAAAAATATCACACTGCTCCCAGGGGAATAACATCTGGCTGGTGAACAATGATGGAGTGGCGTTCCTCGAATCGATGCAACGTGCCGATGTTGCGCAACTTCCCTGCCACGAAAATACGCGTACATAAATTTCTCTGCACGGTACGCTATGCCTGGCCATAGACAAAAGAAGACGCAAACAGCCGGTAATTAATGCGGTACTCCGAAAGGACCCGCGTAACTTGGCGTGCTACGCGATTCGTTTAATTTATCATCCAATTTGCAGCGAGGGTATTACTGCCACACGACGCGTAACAATTCGAAATCAATCACCTAATTCGCTTCAAGTCTCACGATCGCCGGCGTACATTTATCAATGTGGGGTAAATTAAATTTCCCGCACGGTGTAACGTAATCGATCTGCCCGTGGTAACCGAGTAAGGACCGTCCTCCTTCCTCGTGGAATTCACCGGAGGATCGAGCGTTTTTCCACGATGAGTCGAAAAAGAAAAAAGAGAAAAAGAAGAAAAAGAAAAAAAATTGTCTAGAAGCACGATGAGGCGCATCTGCTCGATTAACGTGTAATTGCGTTACAGCGCGAAATCGGATCAAATGGAATGCTCGTACACGCTACAACGGCGAGTAAATTACATTAGCAGAAATTAGAATGGCCATTTTCGTTCGAATAAATCCCACGATTTCGCGAATGCAAGCGAGCGCATTCCATTGAAACCTCTACCAACGTGTACGCGGCCAGACGTAACAGTATGTGAACAAATAAGAACGTGCATCGTGGATTGTATCGTACAACGCTCGAGTAAGAACGCTGTGGCACGAAGTATGTCGATGAATCCTCTTTACATTCCTCTTTTATCTCTTCGCGTTAACGAATTCATTTCACCGCTCGTCAGCTACTTTTTCCCCCGTTTCTCTCGACGCTTATGGAAGCGATATCAGCCCCTCTGAGACAGGACGATGTATCGCGCTCGCGAATCGTTCCAGAGCGATAGTACCAACGCATTCGGTATTATTATCCCGCGTTAATCCCGTTGCATTTGCGAAAACACGTTCCCGTTTACGATTCATCTTCGCCTTTTCATTTCGCGAACGAACGCCTCCACAGCCCTCCGTGAAATTCACCCTTATCTTATTTCGTTAGTCGCGCAACACCGGCTTGCACACGCTCCCATCCTCCTCGATACTCTGCATACCAGCACGGAACGTCGCCTGAACATGGCACCGAAATCTCGTAGCTGCAAGCTAACCCTGCCGCGAGATTCAAGTCCCAATCTCGGACTCGAAGTAGGTATGCTCGAAATGCGAGGTGGCAGAAGAAAACGGAGAAATGGGGAAAATAGGGAAACGATGGGACGATTCCCGAATGGAACTGGTCGCTTCCGCGAACTAGTTGGCAAAACAGAGGAAACCGATTGGCATCTAGTACGGCTTAACCACGAGATTGGCGCATCGCGAGCCAGTGAATTAACACGATTTCCCGGGGAACTTTACAACTTGTCAGGCAAACGTGACACGACTGTACCATTTCTCATGGACGGTCGAGAACAGTTTCGAGAGAGGGTTGAAGAGTAACACGGGAACGAACTGCAAATGTCGCCGTGAAAGTGGCGAAAAACCAGGGGGCATGAATTACGAGCACGTCTGTCTCCGGAAGAGATATAAATGTCGGGAACGGGCGGAGTTGTCCATCCCTCGGCCTGCTCCGCCGCCCCTTGTGCCCACGAGGCCTCCGTTTTCCGAATAACAATTTAGAAAAAGAATATAAATCGCCGGGGTGATCTCCGAATCCTCATCAATCGCACGCCGTCCGATTACCCCGGACATCTTGTTCCACGTCGACTTTATCGGCCGCCGTTTTTCCGCGTCGATATCTTTTCTCTCGCGATTTTTATTGCCGATTCGGGGGGAAAAATGAGGCGTCGCTGCCGGGATTAGACCCGTCCACCCGCAAACTTCGCTCGAGAGGAAGGAACCCGCGACGATGTGCGCGCGAGTTCGATGGAAGGGAGAAAGAGAACGATGTCGATCCTCGTGCAATAGGGGATGATACGTTTCAATGACCGAAAAGAGGTTTAACGCGTGCCGTGTTCGCCACACTGGCCGATACAATGGCGCGATATATTTCTAACGGATTCCAGGTTATAAATCGTCAGGCTGCATGTCCGGTTTAATATGTATCGCATCGATCCCCGTGTATATCGTCGTGCATAATTCAACGATGGCTAGGAGAACGTTCGCACGAAATCATTTCGCGTATAGAGCGGAACGAAAAGGCGGGAATTCGAGGCACTCTTGAACAGAACCGAAAGATCGTGGCTACACTCGCAGCTACTCGAACGTCTAATTAGCTTGTCGCGAGATTTTCCGATACACGCGTCTCTTTTTCCTCTTGATCGAACTTGGACGAGTGGAAATCTCGCGCAAAAGCCACGACTCCCCATCCTCCTCGCACCCCCTCGTGATATCGTATTTCGGCCACGTTATCCTGATTAGCTAATTAAAAGAGGACCTGCCGTGTTTTAATCACGTTTCGCCATTACTCACGACGAGTTCTTTTCCTTTTTCTATCTCTCCTAACGCGCGTCGTGACGAATGTCGGGATAGGGTGGAATTATCGAGGCCGAGGATCGACTTTAATTAAATTCCTTTATCGCACGGAGATATCGAGCTGCTTACTTTCCCGAAAATTCTAACTCGATCTAAACGGCTCGTGATTCATCGCACTCGCCCATCGTTAATTAACTAATTTCCCTGTAGCCGACTCGATCGAGCGTCCGAACAAAGACGAGATACACGTATGCATGGTCGAGATAGGGCCTGCGAAATGTTCCACGCGGCGTGTAGATATCGGTGGTCGAATGAAACACGCTTTTAATCGGATCGCCATTGTCCAGTAGTAAGCTGAAAGTCGACGATGACGACAACCCGATTCGATCGAGGCCCAACACGGTATTGTAACCGCGAAAATGGCGCGTCGGGGGTGAGAGCCTCGTGACGTTGCGTTTCGTACGATTTAACACCTATAGGCCAGATTTTCAATTGTCTCCGCCTCGCTCTGGGCTATAAATTCGATCACGCGACATCCCCTTGTTTCGTGTTCGCGAAAGGGACGAGGGTGGTAACGCGAGCAGCATTCCAGTTTCGAAATGATTATTCTTCGTATTTAAAAATTCGCTTCTCTCGTCCTACGATACCACCGAAACCTCTGAAATTGCACGTTCGTTAGCCAGGCAAATTAACGAGCCAATTTGCCATCCAAGTTCAATATCGCGATGGATCGTAGACCGATGTAAAAAGAGTAGGAAAAAAGGGAAGAAAAGGAATAAAAACACGGAAGCTTGCCTGGGATTGTTTATAACGATCAACTACCCTCGAGGACATGGCGGAGGAGCATGGCGAAAAAAACACGGAGACAATCAAGCGACAGATTGTAAGCGGATCGGGGTGGAAGTTGACCCAGATACTTTTAGTTTCGTTAATCCGTCAGGGGATGAGAGGCGGGACTATAAAACCCAGGGAAAAGCCAAGAAGAAACAGGAAATCCGATCCGGTCAAGCCTCCAGGGAATTCAGTGCTTGATAGGATAAACGAGGAAACTTTTGCGTTGACACGCTGGACGCCCCTCGAGATCAAACGAATGAAACAACGCTGCGGAGGCGAATCTTCCCGTCGTGTCCACAGTCCGGTTATACTCTTCTCGTCAACGAGAAGAGACGAACGGCTAGCTGAACTTTACGGGAAGCGACTGAGAAGCGAGGAGCAGGAACAATCTGCGAGGAATAGTTGTTCGATAAGACGACTATCGAATACGATACTGCATACTCGTGACTAGCGTACGATCTACTGAAAATTCGCGGGGGAAAAACGTACATACGCGAGCTGCGAGAGGTAACTGCATTCGCTGAACACTGAACGACTAATTCACTTAAAGACACCGGTATTGGAGCGAAGCCAGCGGTGAATTGAGCGCGATGTTTCATCCGCGAAATCGGCCTGCCAGTCGATACGGTATTTGCGGTGACAATTTTTCCACGGCCCACCGCTTCGGCTGGGGTATCGAGTTATTCGGTTTACGGGCATCAGAGCCATCGAAAATCGTTTCGTTGTCATGTGCTGCTCTATCGGGCCGCCTCTTCGCGATTCATCGAGACTCTCCTCTTCGACGCAAAGGCGCGACGGCATCGAGCGTGAGCGTGAACCGGAAAACCCTCTCCGTTGATCCGTTGCGACCTTTAAAAAAGAAACCAAGCCTACCAACCGCCCTGCAAATTCATCCACTCGATCCGGACCGAGTTCCCTTCGTTCGAATTCCACGCCAAGTCATGGGAGAATCGCGTTTCGCGCGATCCACGTCGAAATTCAAGTTCTCTATCAGCCGAGGTATCTACCGGGGGGGATTCCGTGACGCCGAGTGTTACAACTGAACGCGTTTCAAGGGGAAAAGTGAAAAGGAAAACACAGGGAAGCTGGCTGCGATCCTCGCGACTTGGATCGGTCGATACGCAAATGTTCAGCAAAGTGTAAGTTGCATGGAAACTCCGGATGAAGTTGTTTTCAAAGCCCGTTTCTCGATGAACGACGGGAAGAAGATTCTATCTGCCCTTTGCAAGGGAAACGAACGTTTTTCTAATTCAGACGTAGAGGGAAGGTCATCTATGATACGGCGCGGGTATAAAAAGCGATGAAAAGATAGAGAGCGTAACTGGCTGATAAAACAAACACAACGGATTACGGAAAAGCAGGCAATGCGAGTGCACATGCATCGATATCGTCCGCGAGTTACACGAGCGATGCAAGATAATTCGCCCTAATGCACGAAAGGCATTAACCGGCACGCCCGTTGCGCCATCGTTCGACTCCATTTTTCATTCCCTTCCAGAGCACAAGTCCATCTTCCCTACTCTCCCCGGCTAGGTGGAAGACCAACGACAAAAACGCACTTCCCGAAAGAGATTGACCCAAATCCTTTTTCCCTATGCGAAATAATTTACAAACACTTTTCGCGAGGACAATATTCTCGATGATCTCTACGTAAGTCCCGTAGGTTCGCCCAACCGGCACTAACGTACTTTACAAGCTCGAGCGTTACAAAGAATGGGGCTTTAAGGGAAAAGAACCCGATATTTTGCAGGCTTTAGAGGGCAGAGAAAACACGGCACCCTTTCTAATTTAACACCGGATTACGGCTAACTCGATCACGATCCAATCAATTCTACCTCTCAATTGTACATACGCGCACCGAGCACAGGGTGAACAGGCTTCTCTGCCACGACAAATATTTTTTGAGAATATAATTATTCTGATTACAGTACGTTTCCGGAGCCAGTACCAGCGGCGAGGCCAGCCGCGTGAGTTACAGTAGCGTGAGCCAAAGTAGCGACGGGGGTGCCGCCACTACTCTACCCAGTGGCGGGATGTGACGTCACACGGCGGCCCGGCCTGGGCCCCGACGAGATCGCGCGATTCGTTTTCGGGACACGTGATTGTAGGCTCGTTTTTCGAAAGATCGTTTCGCTTGCACGTGGAAAGGCTCGTTTCACCGGGCAAACTCGAGTCAACGGACAAAACGAGGCGAACCAAGACACGGACTGTTCACCGGCTACCCGTGTGTGCTCCTGACAAAGCTAATCGAGGACTCGTCGGCAAGGGCAAACCACCTGCTTCGATTCCTCCTCATCGTAGAGCTTCACCAGTGACGAAAAGTGGACCACGAAGGAGCGTCACGCGCAACCCGGGACACCGCGACAATTTCTTGTACATAGAGAACAGTAGTCTCGCGTTTTGTACCTCCAACGAAGGATCTAGCGAAATCGAATTGCGGGAAGACGGTGCCGTAAATCGAGTCGGATGCCTCGTTACCGTTTTTACGTTCGGATACCTTCGGATACTTTGTAGCCTTTTAGGGAACCTTCGTATATACACGGAATCGTAAATCGAACGGTGGCAATGCGCGATCGGTACAGCGAATTAACCTATACGTTTCTCGATTTCACTTCGCCGAGGAATTGTCTATCGCTTCGTTTCGATACGGTTAAACACATTACCGCTTTCTGGAAACCCTCGAACCGAGGAAGAAAATACAATCCCCTGTTACGAGATCGGCGTTTCAGAAAACTAACAGTCCACCATTTGGCAACGTTTAACTCCCTCGGCACGAAATTAGTCTTCTTCGAGTTTCCAGGAAATGGCGATCTCTCGTGTCGTTACACTGACAGGCGATTATACGAACGAAAAGCGTGCACAAAGTTAAAATAACGAGCAACGGGTGAACTTATTAACGCGTGTAGCCGGCTGTCGATCAACAAAGAGAAAACGAAAAAGTGGCATAAGAGAACGCTTCGTGCGAGAAAATTAACAACGTATCCTCGGGAAAAATTCGATTTTCCGACAAAGGTTTAATATGCACCGTTTTTACAGCCACGTTGATCGTTAAATACGTACGAGAGATCGAGAAGCTTCGCGAACGGATTCCGAGTGATACGCGTGTCTGTATTAAATAAAAGTTAACCTAAACTTGAACTTGACCAAGACAAGACTGGCAGAACCGACATTTTGTTTTCCTTTTTCTTTTTCTTGGCGAACAAAGATCGAATTACCAAGCAAAACTCCGCGAAACGAAACTAATATCGGAGTCGTTCCTTGAACTTTGCTTACGATATTACATAATGTAACTTGAGACACGTACCAAGGCCGATGTAACTTAATCGACGAATAAAATAAACAAGGTCGTAGGTTCGAATAATGTTAAACGTGATTTTGAACTCATCGAATTCGAAAAGAAAAATGCGCATAATTGTCAAATTCAGGTTAGGATTCATTAATCGAACTTCGCTCTGTATGTTGTTCATTTGAAATATTCTGAAATCGTTTCCTCTATTCTCTGAACCTATTCGAAATTTGAATGTAACACGATTAATCGTATCGGACAATCTCTATTCGATAGACACATACCTCCTCTACTTTCAATAGCGAATATTTTTGCAGAACGATTATTTATTTTGTCAAGATAACCTTAACATAGGCATTCATTGTTGTACATAAAGCAATTACCGTGTAATTGTAAATACTAGAACACTGTAAAATCAACTTATGCGAAACGTATACACATATGTATGAGAAATTGTAACGAGGCGTGCATCAATGCGAATATATACAAACGTTTCCTCGACTAAAAATATATTCGATATTAATTCAATCCTGTTTCGCTGGAAGAGTACGGAAAAAATTCTGATCGAATATTTACTGTTCATAAAAAATGTTGCCATTTACTCGTTTTAGCTATGGAAAATTAACTCTTTATGTGTAAATCTAAAATTTGGATGCTCCTTAATAACGGAACAAAGAAAGAAACGAAGATGTCAATATTAAAATATACGAATGATTTACCTCGAATTTCAAACCAACGAAGACTAGTCTGGCCGTTTCATTCGATTCAGATTCTGCTGCTTTCATATGAATCCAATAAGTTTCTGAAATAAGTTTTTACAGTATAAAACACTTTCTCTATAAAACTTTCGCAATCGCAATATACCAACACTTATTGAATACCTGTCTTCGTTTAAAAAATTCACACGAAAAATATGGCGCGTAATTGGTTTGGCGTAATAGCGCCAAAACAAGTCTAGTCAATGTACATATTGTAAAACCGTTAACACCTGACAGTTTCACGAAATAATAATCTATGGAAATATCTATGGAAGTAATAATATCGCGTGAAATAAAATTGGAAAGAAAAATTGTGGATCTGCTTCTTACCGCTAATCAGTAAGTCAGATACAAATGATCAGGAAGAAAAATCATAAACCTCACTCTAAAACGATGTTTCTCACAGCATCTGGTAGAGGGCGTTTTGTACACAGGAAAAATTTGAGCGCCCAATTCAAATGCTACTTGTAACTTTTTACTTGTAGAATTCATGTGATTCATACGAACATATATATGTTAAAAATGCATGAAATAATAGCAAATTCTTAACTGACATGATACTTTCATTGGAAAACACTACTTTCGCGAAATATTTCTGTATGTACGTGCAACTTGTGTTATTCAAAAACTCGATGCAACATTTAATAATGCACAATGAAAACATTTCACAAAATATGTTAACGAATCATCATACCTATATACGCGGTGAGAACATGAATGCGTGTGTAATTCGTATTATATTGCATAGATTAAAGACTTCCCAGGCTTGTACATATAATGTGAAGATACGGAATCGTGTTATATCTAAGGAATAGATAACGTGCAAACATAAAAAGTATCAATTCATGTAAAAGACTCACATTATCGAAACCTCTCAAGTACCTTTGAAGAAATGTGTCCATCAATATGCTGTCCTTTATAATAAAATTGAAATGAAAAAGATATCGTTTATTTTTTTATTTCTCATCTACCCTGAATTATTAAAATATATAATAAACAGCAGGACATATTATACAATACAACTAACAAGTTTATTTATTTAACATATCCGACTTTATATTGTAAAAACATACTCTGATTTACTGTATTTCATAACAACAATATATCTAACATCTACAACAATGTCTGTTCTTGTCTGTTCTTGTACAATGTACGAGGAAAGCTAATACAAAATGTACTTTTATTAAATATAAGTTATTCCTTTGAAGATATTGGGAAACTTTGGATGTCGTATAAACTGTAGGAATATAGTTGCAATTACAACTAACGTATAATTATATTGTCATTAAAACTTGTATTCAATTATAGTTTATTATTTAAAATAACGTTTCCATATTTTTGTTATATCTATTGACCATAATTACAATCACATTTTATGTTCCTATGTATTAAATGTACTATTGTAAAAACAATTTTGAAAACGAATCTCTATGATCTCGTTCCTTTTTCTTTGGTGCGTATTGGTCGTGTACGATATAACAAAAATTGTCAAAAAATGCATGACAGGAAAACAAATATTGCAAGTTTTAAAACATAAATTTACCACCTAATATAACCTTTGTACTCGTCAACTATACTGAATCTTTTAATTGTTTCATATCCTAAAATTATTGAAAAACTAAAACAAGCAGACTGCACAAGACGTGCAGAAAGTCCCTTTGTAAACATCTTCAACCTTTCTTCTACCCAGAGAACTTTGAATGCACTAAACATACTATCTAATCTTTGTACTTGTAATCTTGCTCGTACAATATCTAGAGGATTTGTAATAATAGTAGTGGTAAATCCCCCTAATGTACCAGCAACGGCTTGAATGAATAAGTGAGAAAACCACTCTGGAAATAAGTTTAGAAGCTCTTCTGTTGACAGAAATAAAAACGGTTATTATCCGAATTTAATTTCTTTTATACCTTTGCTTTAAAGCAAATACCTTGGTACGAAGTATACAGTCCCCACCATAGGGCACTATTGGGTACATAAGCACACAATGAAGCAACATATCCTCTATAAAAACCTCTGTATCCATCTCTCTGATAAATTAATCTAATAATATCTGTTGAAATTTGAGTACGCGATTTTCCTGGTTGAAGAATTAAACCCAATGGATTTATTCCCATCTGTAAATAATACACGGATAATAAAGGCATATATTAATACCTTTTCTTTCACATTTACCTTATCTATGTATTTTCCATGTCTATTGTTATTGATCCCAAGAACCATTAAGTGCTGACTTAGAATATCAAAAGGAACTACTATTGTCTGGCCTACCAAACTAGCAGCTCCACCAGCAATTAATGCTTTAACTCTTGAGTCTATATTACCTATAATACTATTCTGCCCAAGTATATGACGCATGCCTTCATAAGTAGACACATAAAATACACCAGATACAATTTGTACAGAACTTATCCAAAATCCCCTGTATAAACCACTTATACCTTCAATTTTATAAATCTTTTTGTAAGCATCTATCATTCCTAAAAGAAGCAGATACTTAACATTACAATAATTTAAGCTTACTTCATTTGTAAACTTACCATTGTATATATGATTGTGTCTCTGAACTTGTAAACGAGTTTTAATTACTGTTAAGGGATATAAACAACAGCGTACAGAAAATGATGAGAGCATGCTCAATGGAAAGAACTTTGTTTTATCCATCATGTCCCATTCTATGGTACGAATGAAATGCGGTGTTTCTACTGCAGACATCTTGTAGATTTACGATACTGTTAAGTCCGCTATAATTATAGTAACTACACAGTAAGTATTGTAGATGCCTTCGTTCAACTTGATGCTGCATATCTCATTGGTATTTTTTGGGACTTAATACCCAAATCATTTACAAAACTAATGAAAGAAAAATATTTATATAAGTATGTTTTCGCGTTTCCATAATTATTTAGCAACAGAAAGGAAGTAGGTTCACTACCCAGAAATCTAATTTACTGTATATGAAAATAACATAAACATATTTTAAATTTATTAGACCTATCCTATACGTAGTATTACATACAAATATTTATTTTATGTTTGATATTCAACAATGTATAGAGATTAGTAATAAACCGTTCAAAATAAAGTCTCTAGTCAATTCTAATGATAATATATAATCTTCTTTACTTAACTATACACACGAGGTAAAAGTGAAACACTGCTGTCATTGAATATTTTTATACGTTTTATACATAGTTGTCCTATGAAAATCACTGCCAACGATGATAAGTATAAAATTTACGAATCGATAAGCGTTTTAAAAAGCTATGCAAACGTGCTACTGAAACTCACAGTGATGCAATACTTATCACAAAAATAAATATCCTCCAGCAATTATATCCATTGAAATCACATTATAATAAATATATCATTATAATAATTTTTCACAACGATATCATGAATATATCATAAGAAAATTCATTCTCACGTTATACAAGAAATAGAATGGCCTTGGTTCCATTCAACAACGTATAGTCACGTTACTTCACGAAGAAAATCAAAAACACGAGGCATCAAAGGCTACGGTAAATCTGATCTAAATTTCTTCATGATTCTACGCATGTGCTATCTAAAATATATTCAGACAGTGGCGAAATCCATGAGCGAACGCACGAAACACTATTATACCGATAAGAAAACGTTCCGAACGATGTCGCTCATAGCATCTTTAAATTAATATCATACGAAACTCCTCCACCTGCGGAAATATTTAAGTAAACAATATATGCACACAAGCGTGATGCGAAACAAGTCAGGTACAGAATAAACTTATTTATCATTCATTGCGTTTTTCTAACCTGCATTTTTAGGATTCTAAAGTCCCTTACCATTTTAGTATCATTTCCAACATTACCGATGCAGTGTAAGTAGACAGAGTGAACACCAATGTACAGAAATTGAACATCAGTGCTCTGTAGGAGAACCATATGTACCTCATCAGAACCTTGGCCTAACACGAAGTCGGTCTCAGCGATCCTTTGAAGTTTGATGAACCGGTTAAAATTATATCAACTACTGGTAAATGATTTTCAGTTTACCATCTTTCATCTATATAAAATTTTCGGCACTTCATCTTTTGGATTTAATCGATTGGGCGAACTCATATAACGATTAAAATGGAGAATTACAAGAAATCTTTGTATGTGTTTTTCACGAAGCTGAAAATTAAGGATTCATAGAAGAATCATTATATTATAGCTATCAGAAGATTCGTCGTCGTTGTTACGTAATTTACTTTGTAATTTATTTTTTAATTTATGAACGCTATTTTAATCGATATACCTATGTAAATTATACCTACAGCCTGAACAATATAAACTACAAGAAGACCCCCTATCGATATTTCCTCCCTAATTGAACAGATGAAAATCTACAACGTTAAGATCGCAGCCAATTAGCTCGTATTACTTGCTATATCGTTCATAATTGTATCATAGCGATTACGTATGATATAACTATAGTGATACAATTAGGAATGATATGTCAAATAATACCGATTGCCCAGGTCTCACCACGTGGAGGTGCTGCGAATGGAGACCCACCCTATCCAAGTCCCAACCACCCTCCATTTGCGTAAAAATTGACTAATATTCAAATAAATTTCTCTTTTGATGAACGTTTGCAAAGCGTTCAATTTTTGATCGCTGTACAAATCAAACATCAAAAGAATTTAAACAAAAAACCGACGCGGAAGACTAAACCTGAAAATAAAAGATAAATTCCGCCTCGAACTAAACCTGAAAATAAAAATAAAATAAAAGATAAATTTGGCCTCGAACTGAATCTAGAAATAAAAGGTAAATTATGCCTCAAACTAAGTGTTAACACATAGTTCAACTATGTGAGACGTTATTTCATTCCTGCAACGATATTTTACATTTTCATTGGTACGAAATATAGATAATTAGGAAGTTTAAACAAAAACGAGACAACGTTTCGTTGATGCAACGAGACTTTACGTATTTCTGACCTCGAAAATGTAGAATAATCGATAATTAAAAAATAAAAAAGAAAAACCCACACCGGAAGAAATGAAACGTTTCACAAAGAAATAAATTTATTTCTCTAACTTAATCCTAATTAATATTACTTATCGTTAATTATATATAAACTTAATTACGAATATGGATAATTACTTTTTTTACTTAAGGTCAACAATATCTAACTGAAAATGTTATATTACTTAAATACTAATGTGCTTACATATTAATTCCTAACTTAGGTGCCAAGATCTCAACTTACAAGTATATCCCTCAAACACCTTAAACCTTACTCAGTTTAAGAAGAGGCTACCTAACTGAAAATCTAATTCGTTTTACCTATAAAATATCTAAAGGTTATTATCAATCCTAGATATATATCTATTTGTAATGAAGAAACAGGAAAATGTCATGTGACTACTTTCCGCCAGTGGTCCACAAGAGTTCTTAAAATAGATTTTGGAAATCCAACACATATCGAAATTCCAATTATTTTTTATACATCATAACTGTATATGTGTATAAAACCAGAGGAGGTGGGGTATATAGTATACCAATCAGACAAGACAAACACAACCTAAATACCAGAAATATAACACAGCACAACCCAAATATCAGAAATATAGCATGACACACAACCAAATATCAGAAATATAACATAGCACAATCCAAATATCAGATATATAACATAACACAACCAAATATCAGAAATATAGCATGACACACAACCA